TATCGCCCTAGTGACACCTTTGCTTAACTGGATGGAAGATAGCTGAGGGAAGATATGCATATATAGCCTTGGATCATTGACAAGTGGTCAGCCGGGCTCTGTTTGACTGGATACAATGCGTTCAAATGAAAACATAACATCATTTTTTTCTATCATCAGTAGATTTGCTCCTAATAAACGTTCATCAAAACCAATAGTTTAATGCGAAATTACCAATAAACCTGCTGTCTCAGAAGCAATCAACTATTGAAAATTAGCAGTAGACTAGTGGTAATAGAAAATATTTTCGACGACGATAAATTGGAATTTTGAAAAAGAAAATTTAAATGTAGCCTCAGAAAACATATGTTTCAAGTTTTAGGAATGCATGAGTAATTGCAATACCTCTATAATTTTGAATATCTGAACGTATGCCAGATTTAAATATTAGGATCAAAAATGATTTCTTCCAAACTAATGGAAAATCGCCTGATTTGAGTGACAATTAAAGAGCCAAAACAATGGATTAATGAAAGCAGATGCTAAGTTTATTCAGTACTAATGGAGGAATTATACTCATTTCCCTCAGCATTATACTGGTTTTGTACTCAGAAGCATACTTCCTTTGATATATTCTTGAAATTCTTTATGGATGTTCCTAAAATTTCCCTCCAGCTGATGACTGAAATTCTCTTTAAAAAATAAATTAAAATGGCAGAAACGTTGGGCAGATTACACCGTAGTCGTACGAGTAAGTAAGTACTGAAGAAGCCGTTAAAACCAGGCAAGCAAAAAAAAACAATATCCTGGGATTTTTTTAAATCGAATTATCGTTTGCATTCTCATTGATTTATCCTCTGAATACCTTTGGAACTACCCTCATAATTTGATTGCGATAACAGAAGCAGGCAATTTATCCAAATCCTATTGAAGAATCAAAGTGACGATTGACTCACAGATGGCGAATGGGTGAAAATGGTAATGGCGTTTTGATATCTGTCTGAATTTTTTTAAGTGCATCATCATTTTTGTAATTGCGTATCTTAAAACTAGGTGTCGCATGACCAGTTTTGGCTTTGATTCGCTGATGATGCTCACCCTAGAGCATTTTGGCTGAATGATATATTAACGAAGGCGATTGATAAGGCGAGAGTAAAGTATTGCTCTCTACAGAAACTGTGGAGGCGGTCTACCGTCTTACGCGTCATTTATATATGATGATTTAAGACATGAACATGGCAAAGAATAATTTATTTACTAAAGAAACATTCATGTAAATCGATGAAACAAATAATTATTTACGAAGTAGGATGTTAGCTTACCAGCTAACGGATGCTGTTGAAATATCATGGTTGAGCAACACTCGTTCAATTAACCACTTCATTCGAGCTGTTGAAATGACATTTACTACCACTCGAACTTCGAAATAAAACATTATGTTGAGATTTTTTTCTTCTAGTACCTCGAGAAATGTAGCCATAATTTGTGCGTTTCATTAAAAAATAGAAATTAGTTGGTCCAGTTTTGTGAAATCGCTGGTAGAAAGTCACGCCAAAACTGCTTGACAAAGTGGTCAATTTATTTTGATTTTGGTTTTTACAATCAACAAAAAGCTGTATATGTTTGACAATTGCCTACAACTCGCGTAAGGTAACATAATTGTGAATTACGCGGATTAACCCACCATAAATTCTCGAACAATACTTGATTTCCGAACAATTCAAACCTCTCGTTTAGGAAAATTTTGAGATTTAAGATCCCAGTAGGAGAATGTAGATTGATAGAGTGATTCAAGATAAGGCCGCAACTGCTTTTGTCAGCAATTTCCCGTGATTTAACTAAGTAACTACCGTATGCGTGATAATGTTTGCACCATCGTACAAATAAGGTTCCCGTTTCACCTGTGCATACAATGCCTTGGTTTTCTTTGCATGCACGTAACCTATAGCTCATACCGTAGTAGGCTGTGTATAAAAGAAAATAATTTACTTAGTTTGACAGTTGCACCATGACGAAGTGGCAGCGTATTCGTGATTTGTCCCACGCGCAAATGTCGCAAAAAGACATTTCAATAGCCGTGGGAGTGTCCCGGTGGACCGTCAAAAGGGTTTTAGACCGAGAAAAGAAAGGACAACTATCCGCGAAGGTGGCCACAGGTCGTCCGAAGTTAGCTCGGGTTCCGAGGGTTATCGCTGCTATCAAAAGGAAGATTCGGGTGAATCCAGAGCGTTCGATAAGGAAAATGGCAAAGGAACACGGGATCAGTGACTTTACGGCACAGAAGATCGTAAAGGAAGATTGCGGGGCGAAGTCGAGGGCACGGAAAAAAACTCACATGAGCTACGAGTCGAACGATGCAAGAAAATCTTGAAATCTGGTAATCCTGTTCACCGACAAGAGTATGTTTACCGTCGATCCCGTATCAAATTCCAGAACCGACCGGTATATTAGTTCTTTTCCGGTAAAAGACGTGGCCGACGAGCACAAGAACTTGCATCTGACCTTGCACCCTGCTAGTGTTATGGTGTTTGGATTGGTGGCTTCCGATTGCAAAAAAATGGACCCGGTGTTCATTCCAGAAGTCAAAAAGGTCAACACGGAGGTCTACACCGGGATTTTAAGTAAGATGTTCTTCCGTGGATCAAAGAACAGTACGGTCCGAAGCCAAATGTTGTATTTCAACAAGATGGGGCTCCGTGCCACACCTCAAACCGCACTCAGAAGTGGTTGCAGGAACATCTTCCGTTCTGGGCGAATGATATGTGGCCGCCATCCAGCTCCGATCTTAATCCACTGGATTACTCAGTATGGTGCGTCATGAAGGCCTGTTCTAATCGCCACCCGTGTACAGCAAGCCTCAGACAAACATTGACCCGTATCTGGAGATAAATGGATCCAGACTACATTATTAGAACCTTCCGTGCATTCCGAAAGCGTGTGGAGGCCGTAATTGCAGCAAGTGGAAACTCGATCGATTTTTTTTTTCCTTTGGTTTGTTTTTTCCGTCGATCTTGTTTTCCGTGCTGAGCACCAATGCTACCGACGTGCAAAGAAGGCAGCTCCCACACCTGGACCCTACCTATCGACCCATCAACTCATGAACCGGGGACCAACGGCTTTACTTCCCATCCGAAGGAAGGCGTGATCAGAGATGTTATGCCTCAGAACATCCCGGCGGCGCCGACTGGGATTGAACCCAGGCCTTCTGGGGTGAGAGGTAATCACGCTTACCACTACACCACCGGCGCCGTTAAAAACTCGATCGATGATTAACATAGTTTAAGACTCTGAGAAACATCCCCCCTTTGAATAAATAAAAAAACTCGAAAACGAAATTTTTGAGATTTTTTTTAATTTTGACATTGCTCAATGGTGCAAACATTATCACGCATACGGTATATCAAATGGCAGAGGCATTATTCCACTACCAGATTGGGTTGTTAGTTTAGATTAATCTAGGGAAATTTACGTCATCATTTCTAGCAGCGTTCGTGCTTCTATGAGCTTTTTCTTGACGTAATGCAAACATATTCACAGCCTATAATCGCATATCAGTCCCATATGGAAAAAAAATAGTAATTGATAAAATGGCAGTCGAAGCTGCGAAGTGCAATTCCCATGTAAATATTTGAAAAATCAATGTAAATTAATTGATATTTTTTTCAAGTTAACGTCAATTGAAAACAAGCTAGCATGTTTTGATAAATCAGTGAAAAATATGGCAATTCAAAAAAGCAGAACTGTAACTTAACCTCTGGATAATTGGATGGGACTGATATGCGATTACTTTGCTTGATGGGACAAACTGAATCGATGTTGGTTTCATATTTTTCATGATCAAGGCTCATAGTTTTATCACATAATATGAAAGTAGATGCCAATTGATAGTGGATAGTAATATTATATCAAAATTGATTAAAATCCATATGGGACTGATATGCGATTATAGGCAGTTCAGTGCTGCCTGCTGGTCTATCCATTCCAATCGATTTTATTTTCATAAACTATTTTCAGACGCTTTTACAACGTTTCAAGCTTCTCAGGTAAGTATGAGTATTGTCTGCATGTAATCGAAGACAACAAATCAAGAAGACTGGCAACTTTGCCAGAATCCAAGTGACAGATACAATGGCGCTGCGATTGAGTGAAGGTGGAAGCAACGCAAAGAAAAATGAGCAAATACACAAACCCTTCTTCTGAGGATGTAATCTTTGCTATCAAATTCGTTCGAAGCATTTACCTTTAAGCGGCAGATGACGTGATTGTACCTGTCTCATAGCGTTCGTATGAGAAAATGGAAGAGTTGCCAGTCTTCTTGATTTGTTGTCTTCGATGTAATACAGACAATGCTGAGATTTGTCATTGTCATTGACAGACTTTCGCGCGACATTAACAAATTCACTGATAAACTTGATCGTCAAAAAAACCTTTAGCAAAATCTCATTAATTTTTCCGTCAATGTCAAAGATTCACCTGTCAACAAAACGTTTAATTTCGTGCATTTTGTGTCACTTTATTGTTATCCAAGCAGTTCAGGTCGTAGATGCTTGCTCACTTTAACGCCTCCATGCAATTGTTTAGCTCAAGTCATTCAATTTCGTTTCAAATTTAGCTAATGAAAAAATCTGCAAATGTTCGTCATTGACAATTGACATTGTTTGCCTTGACGATGACTGTTAGCTCAAATGACTAACCAAAGCTGAATTTTGAATATCGGCGTGTATTGTCGAGATTTTGCCAGCACTGATTATTATCGGCAATTTGAAATCAGAAGCATTTTGTTGTGCGTTTGTTCCATTTAAAGAAAAACCGGGTAAATACGCTGACTCAGTCGTAAAAATCTAATCAGATGGTAGCTGAAAAACTAAGGAATCGATTGAATACACTCAACGAAGTGTTTTGGTGTGTAAATCCAGTTAGATTAACATTTCAATGTTGGTCTGCCGAAGCCGTCATTTAACCATCTGAATCCAACACTTCATCCAGCGCATCCCTCAATCGTCAATCGTCAAGGTACTCACCCTTCTCGTAGCTCGTTTGTCGCTCCTGCTGCCGCGCGTTGTCAGCCGCCACCTTCAGCAGCCCTTGGATGTTCCGCAGCAGCGTCTCCGTCGATGATAGCGTCGGGTCCTGTGCCGTCGGGACGTTACCCACGGCAACGGCGGCTGCCGTCGCTGCTAGACTCGAATAGTTGAGCGCTTGCTGGCGACTTTCCATGTCCTGCGAAACCGGAACCGTCGCCGGAACAGGTGACGAAATGTCCCTCTCGCAGTCGCTGATGTCTGTCAGTTGGGTCGGAGGAGGTGCAAGCGAACAAACAAAAAATGAAAACGAGAAACAGAAGAAAGTGCAGTCGCATGAGAAAAACGGCAAACATGATAATGACACGCATTCAGTATGTTTCTGCTGGGGCAACGAGGGGGATCGCGAGTGAGAGATGATCATTGACCTTTCGTGTTCGTTCGGTTGGGTCGGTTAATGTTGTTGTTGTTGTTGGTTTCTTGCCGTTCCACTTACCTTCTTCTTTCTCGATAGGTTCCTCGGTGTCCGATATGTTGGCTTCGCTGATATTTTCGTCCTCTTCGTGCACCGAGGGTTCGGGCGAGTTTTGATTACTCCGCTCACTGGGGGCGCCACCACTGGCCTGATCGCCGCCGGATTTGGACAAATTCAGCACCGGACTGGCTCCGTTCGGTGAATCCGGTGGAGGAGCTGTTGGGGATTGGGGAATTGATTAAAGTTCAGGATCAAAGATCAACTATTGCTAACGTACCACTCTGAGAACTCAGATCCCGTGGTTTCGGATCCAGACCGACGGTCCTGTCCTCGCCTCGTTCTTCACGCAACCGCTCCAGGTGCTTGACAATGTCCTCGTATGCAGCTCTGTGAATTGAATTAAATGGTACAAATTTATTGAGTGAATGTTTCCGGAAAAATGGGGAGAAGGGGAGTAATTCTCACCTCGCAATAGCCTCCATTCCAGGGATGTTTTGTCCCTTGATAATTGACCCATCTGGTCGTGGGATTCCGTGTGGATTCACACCGGGGCTCATCAGCGGGTGGGCACCACCAGGATGAGGATTCATTTGCATGAACGGAATGTGGTTCAAGTGCGTCGGGGGAGCGTTGTATCCATTGGATAGCAGGGGTGATTTGTCCAACCGTGAGATATCTGTAACAAATGGGCGATTAATTGAGGTTGAAGCGGAATTATTCACTATGCTGAGCAAGGAGATGATTATTATTAACAACAAAGACGTACGCAGCATGTCAACCAAAGGCGGTAGCCACTGAATTGTTGGTCATACATTATTGAACAGGCACCTAATGAGTTACTCGATTCAACAGGTTATTAGATGTCTGCCTTCGCCATATCTAATCGCATAGTTCACAAGTAATAATCTCGCTCGATATTTATAAGGCTCAATTCGTTGAGGATTTTTTGCACTTATATGGCCACCTCTCATCGTCTCCCCTTCTATGGACGACGTAGAATGTATTCACCCTTTGGCTGTAGGGGAAAAAAGCGAACCACCGCCGAGACTGTAAAATTGCCCTCTTTTAAAGCTAATGAAGCACTACCCGAAATTTCCGAACCAAAAACGAACACAAAAACCCATTACCGCTTTGTTTAGACTGTCAAATTGACTGAAAGCGCCAAGATTCGATAAGGCACATCGCCCATCGGCCAAACGAGAGCAAGATAAAGCTGCCATCGCGTGTGTAAATTCAAATCGATTCGACCGCCACCCTCTACGTTCTCCAAATACCACCAAATCAACAGAAGATGCATGGAATAAACGAAACAGTCCGGTTGGATCTGTATTCTATTTTTGATTTAGAACATTTTTAGAAAAGTACGATCATCGAAACGTGCAATATTGTTAATATAATTTTCAACAGAACGAAATTTAAATTCTTTGCACTCGTCTTCAAAATGCGTCCATCGGTGCAAGATCTGAGGTCTACTACGTAAGATTTCCACAACAAATTTATGCGTGGCATACTTATAATTAGCATAATCGCAAAATGTTGCATAGCCCGGCGATATGCTATGCGATTGCGTAGAAGAGAAAGACCCATCAAAGGGCAGGTCGTTATCAAAAACGTTTAAGCAGCTTTTGTGCATTCGGTGCGGACGATCGTCCCGAAAAGGTATTTATGCTAATCGCGTCAAATAAATGGCAGGTCTGCGCGTCTCCTTTTCCACTCCAGGCAAACGCCAGACGCGGCCAGCCAGGGCAACATTCCTTTCAAAATTCATATTGATCAAAAATGTGCGCAGACCAGGAAGAACCAGATCGGAGTAGAAACATTTTCGAACATGGAAATTAGATTTTAGAGAACCCAAACACAGCAGCGTGGCAGGGAAAGCTGGACAGCAAAAATCCAGGGGAGGGAGAACTTTTACGATTCCGCACATACGCTAAAAATGGGAAAAGACCTGTACCTCTTCGGAAAACGAAACATAATAATAAATAACAGCTGAAATCGTTTAAAATGATTATATGGAATGGAAATGCAGCTTAACCGATCGATCGATCGGTTGTCGTGAGGCTGGTGGTGGTGCGGGAGAAGATAAGGATTTGGAGTAAGCCAGGCGTCCGTCGTTGGCTGGAAGAAAAGTGGAAAAGTATGTTTGTGCAGATTGTTCGGTGGTGGTTCTCTTTGGTGGCTGTGTGCGCTAATCGATTTGTATTTTTTTTTTCCGGAGCTGGTCGGCACCAGCTGAGCCAGGCGGTCCAGCAGTGGGAGGCAGGCTGATCGGCAAGGAATGCTAATTGTTTAATTGAATTTAACATTTTTGGAATGCTTGAGGAATATTTTCGGTGAGTTATGCTTTTATGCGAAGCCTTAACCCTTTCCGACTCATGGTAGCACAGGTGATGCACAACTTTTTGGTCCGTCTTAAGTTTGTCATTACAGCGTAAAATCGTTCAGCATTGTTTTGAGCTTGTACGTATGCTCATTATTTCAATGAATACCTTTTCTTGATGTTTCAACAGTTAAATTATTGAAAATCAATGGATCATATCATTCGAGTAGATTGAAACTACTTTTCCTACCACTCGAACTTTGCGCCGTGGAACAATATTTTGATATTTTTACTTTAGAACCTCGAGACAACGAAGTCTATTGCTTCATTTTCATAAAATTGAAACGAAACAGCTCGGCAATATGAATAATTTTAAAGGTATGCGCTTCAAAATGAAATTCCGAGTAATTTACGGAATATTTTGATTGATTTTAATATATTGTTTTTTTTGTTTCGTTCGTTTCGCTTTAAAAATGAAACCTCGACATGAATTTTTCAATGTTAACCAAATGTTACGTAATTTAGTGGAATTTAATATATTTACAATATCCCTATCGAAAAACATTTCTGATAACTAAAAAAAAAGTCATACTAAAGAATATCGAGCATTTCCAGCCCAAAAAGCACATCAAATTACCATTTTATCACAATCCTTTCCGATGTGAATGAAACTGAATGTTGCGTTTTCAAAATAAGTATAATTCTTTTTTTCAAGACCAACAATCTAAAACGGCATATCTAAAGATAGATTTTATTGGACATCGCGACTAAAGAGGTGCAAAATGCAACATATAAGCAAAGTTTCACTTAAATTGAAAACAATTATGTACCTACTGGTTTCCTACTTGGCGTGAAAATGCTCTATCCTCTAAACCTGCTTTAGATATGGCAAACCAAGTGAAATTGGCCAACTTTTATCCATATATTGAATATGAAAGGCAAGTCCACTAAGTGGACTATATATTGTTGTGGATATATCTATGCACTAGGTAGGGGTCATACAATAAGCAATACTGTGGAGTTACGACTCGACTCGGAAGCTTTTTTGAAGCATCTGGAGTCAAAGTCAAAGTCGATGTTTACAATTCTTCTGGTAGCAACATAATTAATTCTTATTCCAAGCCCGGATAATCCTAGAAATGTCTCCGAAGCCAACCCGACTCCAGCCCAACTCCGCAGCCTTATAGTCAGTAAGCATTTTTTTTACTGTAAAAATAAGTGAAACGAAACAAAATACCCGTTTCTCCTTTAATTGAACACAATGCTTCCTCAACTTTGTCAGCCCTTAAGCAGGTCAGATTTTTTTCTATTTGTTTCTTATAAATATAAGTTTTACAATCGTCATCAAGATGAATGTTTACGACAATTTTATCGAATAGGCTCTCAATATCGAGAAGCAGTCTTCATATATTATGTGACGGATTTATTTGTGCTTGCTTACTCAGTAAATTATTCCCTCTTCAGGGCTGGTAGTACTGGTGCAATATAATAGTAGTGACTTTAGTGACTAAAATTACGGAAATAGTGACCAAATAGTGACTTGTAAATACTAAATAACTAACTATTTATATGGTAACTTAGAAATTCAAATACGGTTTGATATTGAAATAAACTTCTTATGTCATGGAACCAGTGTTCGGAAAATCATTCTCAAATCTCATTCACTGAGCCTCCCTGCGAGAATAAACTCGCGTGTGAATGCGGCAAACAAAATTGACGCTTGAGATTCTCATGCATATTCACTAGACTGATGCAAATTTTGAAATTTTCGCTCCACAGTGCTCAAACGGTTCCAAATCGGGTCCTGATTAGTTTCCCAAAATTTGAACTCATTCGATAAGAAACTGACTTGGCACAAACCATTTGAAGTTTATATGGAAATTACTATAGGAAAACCAAATGTTTTGTTCATATCCATCTAACAATTTACCATATCGCTCTGCTTTAAAAAATGATAACTGAGCTCGTAGAAAATTTTATCAGCTACAACTTTGTCCTTAACCACTTTTCAATATAATGTAAGCATCAAAAGTTATCAATAATTCAAGCCACTAATGTCTTACGATTATGCTCAATCAACTGTTCAGCAGGCAACATTGGTGTTTCTGGCGCTTGGAATAGAGCACAAAAGTCATGGCTACTATGTCACACTGCACTGCAAGATACAGTGTTGCTCACAAAACAGCTGCTTGATCATGCCATAAGATTATCAATCTCTTAAACAATTAATAACTATTTTATTTGACGTTTGGCTCAACAACTATATTCTGCTAAGTTGAAGCTGAGAAAATTTTCCATAAGTAAAGCTTTTGAATTTTTGAACAGTGCAATATGGAAAAAGGTAAAAAGACAATGAACAAAAAGTTTTGATTTCCCATAGTAATTTCCATATAAACTTCAAATGGTTTGTGCCAAGTCAGTTTCTTTGCAAATGAGTTCAAATTTTGGGAGACTAAACAGGACCCGATTTGGAACCGTATGAGAACTGTGGAGCGAAAATGTCAAAATTTCCATCAGTCTAATATTCACGCACTCACACTCACAACACCGAAAAATCATTCCAGCTTTAAACTCATAAAAACCACTCAAACGTCAATACGTCAAACGTTGATATCATGCCTATGTTGTGTTAGTTTTCCAACCCCTGATGCGCAAACAATAGTAATAACAATGAATAACGCCAAAATATAAAGCAATGAATTTTTGAACTTGAAAACTCATCGGTGATTTTTGCGACGTTGAATTTTGCAAGGCAAAACTCATAGGCGCATAAACTCATGCATGAGATTTGAGTTTTTGAGTTTTTCCGAACACTGCATGGATCATAAAATCAAATTTCATAAATTCCTCTAATTTAATCGAATCACACAACGGATTCTCCTGTGAAGAGCATTTGAAGTGATTTGAGTAATTTACTTTTGCTTACGTTATACATGATGACTAGCAAATAGTAATTCCCATTTTTTATGATCTTAAATTTGATTCTGCGTCTGAAATCTTTAAAATTTTGATAGATCTAGGTAGATAAATTTGATAATTCGCTACGAACTTTTCACAGAATTTCTTTAGAATGATCTCAAGAACATTTTTAGAATAATTTCCCTTCTCTCAAGCTTAGAGGCAAATAAGCTTTCACAAAAGTAATATTGTATTCTTGAAATTCTTTGCAGAAAAATCAACAAAATTCTTGGAAATAGAATATTTTTGTAATTGGAAATACTTAACATTAAATATCAGAATTAAAGTGGACATTTTTTACGATAGATGAGGAGATGAAAGCAAAGCGTTGATAGTTCCGTTATAGTACGGCTGTGTGAAATTTGTATACAGAAAGTAGAAAGTGAACAAAGGACAAT